TATATATATATATATATATATATATATATATTGCTTATTGGTTGGTATTTAACAATTGTTTAGCTTTGTGCATATGGCAATAAAACCTTTGAATCTTGGGGTCTCTGATCTGCAGGAGAACCTGAACCTGGCTCTGAACTCGTCGTCAGCCATTGGCTGCCACGTGGTCAACATAGGGGCGGAGGACCTGAAGGAGGGCCGGCAGCACCTGGTCCTGGGTCTGCTGTGGCAGGTCATCAAGATCGGGCTGTTCGCTGACATCGAGCTCAGCAGGAACGAAGGTTAGTATCAATAACAAAGTCAAACATAGCTGCAGCACGAAGTATAGCCTTACAAACAAATCAGAATACATTTTACCAAATAAATATACAGGTTTACAGCAAGAGCAAAGATAGCTTGAAAATAATGAAGAAGCATTCAGACATCGAGCTCAGCAGGAACGAAGGTTAATATTAATAACAAAGTCAAACACAACTGCACCTAACCTAACCCATAGCCCTAACTACTTTAAAAATAGTTAAATTAAATTCAAAGGTTGTATTGTTATATGCTCAGCAGCTTCAGTGTAGAAATGGCAATGACCTGAGCTCCTCCAACGATGCAACATATAGAATAAAATACAAAAATACAAAGTAGTGCAAAAAGTCTACACACATGTAAATCAAATCAGAATAACTTTAGCCGTCCCACGGAGGGGACATGGACAGTTACAGCAAGTAAAGAGCCAAAGACAGCTTGGAAACAATGAAGACGCATGCATACAATATCAAAGATACAAACTGAAATGACAATTTATTAAATACACATCTAGTGCCAGTAAGTGTACCATGTATAACGTGGTGTGATAGCAGCTAGGTGATAGTATTCACAGTGTAAGTATATATTGAACAGTTATTTACAGAAGTTAAATTGTCCATCTAAGAGACAGCAGCCATTAAGAACAATAATTATGAAGCGCTATGTATACAGAATATATTTACACAAGTAGTCTTTGTTGTTATGTAGTGTTATTGGAGTAGTTCAACATTTTGGGAAATACACTGATCTGTTTCCCTTCCCCTTTGTGTGTGTGTGTGTGTGTGTGTGTGTGTGTGTGTGTGTGTGTGTGTGTGTGTGTGTGTGTGTGTGTGTGTAGCTCTGATGGCTCTTCTGCGTGACGGAGAGTCTCTGGAGGATCTGATGAAACTTTCCCCCGAAGAGCTGCTGCTGCGCTGGGCCAACTTCCACCTGGAGGAGGCCGGCTGCAGTAAGATCAACAACTTCAGCTCCGACATCAAGGTACACACACACACACACACACACACACACACACACACACACACACACACACACACACACACACACACACACACACACACACATGCATTTGGTAGTTTTTCTTACAATGATCTTCTTTAACCGTGCTTATGTATGATCCATATATAGCTCATATGTGTAAACCTACTTTGCAATAAACCTGATTCTGAAAACACGTCAGCTGTAGTACACACATATGTCCTCTAGTGGGAGCCATTACTTTTCTTAAGAGGACTGTTGCTGAAAATATCAAAACATTGAGTATTGTTCATCCTGGGCCCGTAACAGTATTTTTTGGTGAGGACAAAACAAAAAGTCCTCACAGAACGGGTTATATCTCAATACTTGATCCTTATAAATACAGCAAAACAAACATACCTACACACATTGATGAATGTTTGGTCCTCATAAGTACAGCAAAACAAACACACCAAGACACATACATTTTCATAAACGCACAGAAAAGACGGGAGATTTTTATTCAAAAGCAAAACAAATTTACAATTTTAAATAATAAACAAGAAGTGAAAAATCAAGGAAACTACATGATTTTCTATCTTATCTCAAAGACGGATTAAAATATATTGTTTATATTTCGTGTGTTTCAGGACTCGAAGGCGTACTACAACATCCTGAACCAGGTCGCCCCGAAAGGAGACGAGGAGGGGATCCCCCCCATCGCCATCGATGTGTCCGGACTCAGGGTCAGACACGAGATCACACTTTTATTCCATGATATCTGTTTATAAACCTCATCCTGACTTCTCTACACCTTTTCTTTACTTTTTAATGACATAATATACCATAATACTAAATAATATAAATGTATTGTTTTAATCTTGGCTTTTTTAAACTTGCAATGGCTCCATTACACCGTCTTTTAGTCCTGCACTGGAAAAAATGCGGCTCCAAAAACAAGTAAAACAATAACGAAAACGAGGTGTTTTCCCTTGAAATAAGTAAAAGAGTTTGCCACTAGAACAAGTGAACATTCGCTCGGTTAGATGTCTTGAAATAAGATGGGATATTTAGATAAATCAGATCTTATAATTAGCTGGGAGAACTACTTTTGAACTATATTTGACCAGAATCAGGAGATGTTATGTGTTTCATCTGAGATACAACTCAAAGTAAGATGATTTGACTTAACAAGAAGAAGCATTGTCTAAAAACAAGACCCGATATCTCACAGCAGTGTTACTTCTGAAGTTGTCATGTCTTATGTCAGGCGGAGAGACGTATTCTGACTAGATATTAGACACATATACTGAGCAAGATTTAGAGTTTTGTCGTGTGTGGCAAATATTTGTTATTCTGTTTATGAATATCAGAGAATATCCAACATTTTTCTTGAAATTTAGATTTTTCTTATATAAAATCTCTCTCTCTGTGCAGTATTTTTAAAAGTGTAAGTGCTCTCACTGCATCCACCTCGGTGCATTATTGGAAATGATAAATATTGTATGTTTTACACTCTAATCACAAAGTACAAAAATAAAACTAAATATATAATACCTAACAATGAAATGAGAAAATAAAACTGATAATAATAATAAAACATTAAATAAGTGCTTTAATAATTATCATTTATACACGTCTCAAAGAGGTGATATGAAATATGTTTTGTCAATACATAATTAATAATAAATCTGTTTATAAATGATATTAAAGCTCTTTGCTGCCCCCTACAGGAGAAGGAGGTTGTTGTTAATTAATAATAAATCTGTATATAAATGAAGCTCTTTGCTGCCCCCTACAGGAGAAGGAGGACGTGTTGTTAATTAATAATACATCTCTGTATATAAATGATATTAAAGCTCTTTGCTGCCCCCTACAGGAGAAGGAGGTTGTTGTTATTTAATAATAAATCTGTATATAAATGATATTAAAGCTCTTTACTGCCCCCTACAGGAGAAGGACGATGTGCAGAGAGCGGAGATGATGTTGCAGCAGGCAGACCGGCTCGGCTGCAGACAGTTCGTCATGCCGACAGACGTCGTCCGCGGCAACCCCAAACTCAACCTGGCCTTCGTTGCTAACCTGTTCAACAAATACCCGGCGCTGAAGAAACCCGAGAACGTGGACATCGACTGGAGCTCCATCGAGGGTTCGTTTATCCCCCGTCTGTTTCTGAAAACTCTCACCATATATCTATCTATATATTATCTCACCAAAAACATATATATATATTAGATAGCTGCTAATACAGATTATTTATCGTCCCACATTAACAGGATCAGACATCTGGGAAATAATGACAAAATGCATGAAACAAAACAAATAACATTTAAAATAATGATAATACAAAAATATTATATAGTCAAATTATGAATAAATACTTTAAAACAAAAATGAAAACTAATACAAAAACTAATACAAAAACTAATACAAAAACTTAAATTGTAAAAGATAATACAAGTTTAGAAAGTAAAATGTTTATACATAATAATAATTGTTTTTTTATGATTATTACTTTCTGTCCTTTTAAAAGATTTACCATATTGGTTTATTATATTTAAAATATTTTAGTTTGAATATTACAGACCGGTCCAGGGGAATAATAATTTAAAAGCTTTATATAAATATTATTATTATTGTTGATGATTCATTTATTTGTTCTCAGATTATTATTATATTATAGTTCATATCAGAACAGAGCGTTTACATTCAGCTTCTCTTCAGTGTTCTGATGTTTCCGGATGTTTTCCAGGTGAGACCCGGGAGGAGCGGACCTTCAGGAACTGGATGAATTCTCTGGGAGTGAATCCTCGAGTGAACCACCTCTACGTGTAAGAAAACAACATATATATAAGCCATTACTTTTCTTATGAGGACAGTTGCTGAAAATATAAAAACATTGAGTATTGTTCACCTTGAGGCAGACAGTATTTTTTGGTGAGGACAAAACAAAAAGTCCTCACAGAATGGGTTATATCCCAATATTTGATCCTCTAAATACAGCAAAACAAACATACGTACACACATTACATTACATGTTACTTATTAGAAGCTTTTATCCAAAGCGACTCACATACTCAATACTGTGGGCAATCCCCACAGGAGCACTTTGGGGTGAAGTGTCTCAGGGACACAACGACATGCTGACTGCAGTGGGGTTTGAACCTGTGACCCCCTGATCCCAACACCAAGGCTCAATGACGAATGTTTGGTCCCCATAAGTATAGCAAAACAAACATACGTACACACAATGACGAATGTTTGGTCCCCATAAGTATAGCAAAACAAACATGCGTACACACAATGATGAATGCTTGGTCCTCATAAGTGTATCAAAACAAACATACGTACACACAATGACGAATGCTTGGTCCTCATAAGTGTATCAAAACAAACACACCAAGACACATACATACATTTACATAAACACACGGAAACTATGGGAGATTTGTATTCAATAGCGATAATAAAAATGAATAAAGAAAATAGCTAAGTGAACATATAAATAGTGTCTCTGAACACTGCAAGACATTCAGGCGGAGGACATGGTTTGAAAAAGGAAAACAAAGGAATGGTACAATTTAAAATGATTTATTGTGACATTTATTGTATTTTTTGGCGACTTTTCATGATTTCTATAACTTATTACTTTTTTTGCAATGACATATTATGCTGTTATTTTCTTGTAATTGTTTTGACTTACATGACCTTTACTTATTGTTTTTGCGTTGTGTTTCAGGGACATTGACGACGCGCTGGTGATCTTCCAGCTCTACGAGAAGATTAAGGTCCCAGTGGATTGGGACAAAGTCAACAAGCCGCCATACTCCAAACTGGGAAGCAACATGAAGAAGGTGACGAAACACTGAGTATACTGTGCACCCTGAATCTCAACACAATCTAAATGTAGCTCTGTACTTTATTTGACGTACTACTATTGTGGTTGTTGTACATTTTATTCTATTCTTTAACTTTTCATACTAGTTTTTTTGGTCGACATACAATTACTTTTTTAAAAGAGACATATATGAACTTTTTATGACTTTTTTAATTCCTTTTTCTTACTTAATATACCTATACCTCAAAATCTTCTATTATCTTCTTTTACTTTTTTCCAGATACTGTACTAAACTATTTCCGACAGAAAGTCTGACTTTTATTTTCTAATTTTTGTAACTTTAAAAAACTTTTTTTTCTGCTTTCTACAGTTTTTTTTTTACATTTTATTCTTAACTATATATTTATTTTCCAGCATAATATACTGACTGTAATTAAAACTTCTTTTGACAATCTATACCTTAACTTTTTGTCTTTTTTTGGACAAAATAACCGTCATTGACTTTTTTCTACATTACTTATTTTTGTACTTTTTTTCAAACATTTTTCAACACGTTTTTTAAATGTTAAAATATTCCTCTAAAATCAAAGAGTGTGTAACTTCAGAGAGAGATAAATCCTCCTGTTTCAGCTGGAGAACTGTAACTACGCGGTGGAGTTGGGGAAGAAGGAGGCCAAGTTCTCTCTGGTCGGCATCGCGGGGCAGGACCTGCACTCCGGGAATCGAAAGCTCACCCTCGCTCTGCTCTGGCAGCTCATGAGAAGGTAACTAAAACTAAAGCTCTTTAAACCTTTACCATCAAACACTTACTACCTCAAAGATCTCTGAACCAATCTCCTACAAAACCATCCATTCTCTGGAAGAAAAACAAACTGTGTCTCCTCAGCATGATCTTTTATTGTGGCGGTGTGTCTCCTCAGCATGATCTTTTATTGTGGCGGTGTGTCTCCTCAGCATGATCTTTTATTGTGGCGGTGTGTCTCCTCAGCATGATCTTTTATTGTGGCGGTGTGTCTCCTCAGGTACACTCTGAACATCCTGGAGGATCTGGGCGACGGTCGTAAAGTGACGGATGACACCATCGTGTGCTGGGTGAACGACGCTCTCACTCAGGCGGGGAAACCCACCATCAGTAGCTTCAAGGTGAACAAACACACACCTGGATATTATTATATTTATTTCAAGGAGCTTTTTCTGAAATACCATTACTTTTCCCCCAAAAAATTTACATATTATATTACGACTATTTTAAACTTTTTGTAACTCTTTTGGACATACCTTGACTTTCTTCGACACTTTACTTTTCTTTAACCTTTCTGGACATTTTTACTTTTATTGACTTTTTGGACATATTACTTTTTTTTGTTTTACTTTCCTTTGTTTTTACATTTTATTATAAAAAATAAAGAACATACCAGACTATATTTACCCTTTTTTCTACAATTTATAATTGTCATGTATGTATGTGTCTTGGTGTGTTTGTTTTGCCATACTTATGAGGACCAGACATTCATCATTGATGAGGATCAAGTATTGAGATATAATCCGTTCTGAGGATTTTTTTTTTAACGTTATGATTATTTTTTTAACTTTCCATTTGCTATATTATGACATTTGATCCTTTTTTTCTTCTTGTTTAACCTTTTTATTAACATTACTATACTAGGACTTTTTATTTGTTTACACATGTGACTTTTGTTTTTATTTAAGACATTTTATAAAAATATATTTTTTAATTAAATTAACAAAATGCTTTACTAACTAAACTTTTTTTGTAACTTTAAAAAAAACGCTATCGTTTTAAAAAAAAATACTTTAATTTTTTTCAATATTTATATTTACAATTACACATCACCACTCTGTAATCCCCCTCCTCAACCCCTCTCCCTGCTCCTGTGTCTCAGGACGCGTCGATCAGCAGCAGCATGCCGGTCCTGGACCTGATCGACTCCATCCAGCCCGGATCAATCAGATACGACCTGCTGAAGACTGAAGACCTGACGGAGGACGAGAAGCTCAACAACGCAAAGTAAACACTTCAGTCACATTCACAGGAGCACGTTCAGCTGTAGACCGAGACCACTGAGACCACAAGAGCTCTTTCCTCCCATCAAACTCTATAACTCCTCCCACTGTGTGCAATATGTACCATCGTTACAAACACTCTCTGCTATATAACATTTGCAGTATTAACACTAGTGTGCAATAATAACGTGCAATTACGTATCTGCCACTACATCTTTTTGCACTTTTCATTACTGCTTGTCAGTTTTTTGCATTAGTTGTGTGATTCTTGTAGATATTTAATGAACTGTTTTTACCGCACTGTTTACTGTCTCTTTGTAACTCTGGCACAACAATTTCCTTCGGGATAAATACAGTCCTATCTTATCTTACAGAATAAAATATCTCACAGGAACAGCAGAGGTGTGAACGTACCTGCCAACGAACCCGATTCAGATTTAAAACTTGTTTACAGTAGCTTTAAATGAACAGTATCCTATATCCTGTGAGGTAGTGGAAGCAGGCAAGAATATGTGAGTACAGATTGTTCAGGTGGAATAACAGAACCTGTGATCACTTCCTGTTTCCTGTTTCTGCAGGTATGCTATCTCCATGGCGAGGAAGATGGGCGCCCGAGTGTACGCGCTGCCGGAGGACCTGGTGGAGGTGAACCCTAAGATGGTGATGACGGTGTTCGCCTGCCTGATGGCCCGCGGCATGAAGAGGGCCTGAAGTGGGCCTGAAGTGGGCCTGAAGTGGGCCTGAACAGGGCCTGAACAGGGCCTGATGAGGGCCTGAAGTGGGCCTGAAGAGGGCCTGA